CAAAACTGCCACCGCCCATGACGTTTAACCTACCGAAGAGAAATGCAGCCATGTTATTCCGACGGTCCCTAGCTAGTCGCCTAAGGAAACCAAGCTAGACAACCATTGGCGTTCCCATCCACTAAAGCCTCGCGCCACTCAGATTACCCCAACCCCACCCGACACCGTGTCCGGAGACAAAGAAGCTGCAACGCCAGAAGGTTTCGCCTGGGTTGCAGACGAAGAGGGAAAGAAGAAGAAGAAGGCGTAACGCGTTGACCATCGCCCGATACACAACCCGGCATACGCTGGACACCACGACTGCTCTCCTTGCTACCTTGTTGGTTTTCAGTGGATACCACTCCTTAGGTTCTTCTCCGGTCAAAGCCACATGGCATCAAAACTCTTCATCCAACCATTGAGCGTCATAGTCATGGAGGGACTTACCAGCCTGCGACCAGTAAATTTTGAAGCTCACAGTCAGTAGGCTAAAGCCACAGAGACGGACTATTCCACATTGAACCCAAACTTCATCAGATCTGACAACCGGAGTAGCAGATGATGTATCCAAAAAGTGGCAAGAACCCTAGAAGCCAAGCGGAGCAACAAGGGCCCCGGAGGCGGCGACCACCATGAACAGCAGCGCAGGAAACCTGCAATGGAGAGAGTACAAACTAGGAGAAGCCTAGTGAGAGACCACCGTGAAGGGCAGCGCCAGAAACCTAAATGGAAAAATAGTGTATGTTGTATATACATTGTGTTTTAATTGCAACATTGGACTTTTTGCATTATTCACATTTTCTACTTTGACTATATTTTATTTATAAGTGTGTTATAAATTAAATTAAAAAAATATTGCTAAATTCTTCTCATTATAAACTTTCAAAATCTGAATATTTTAATTTTTTTAGTACGTAATAAGGAATGAAAGATAATAATAGTCAAACATGTGTGTTGACATGACAAACGTGGAGAATGGACTATTGCAATTAAAAAAGAATGAAGGAAGTATATACGTAGTACGTACTACGGCGTATAATATAAAGGTAGATTCTATGGTACCCATAAGATACCATACCTTTGTCCACGTGGACCAATGGAAATGTAGCAGTTGAATTATTTAAATCTAAATAAAAAATGATAAAGTGATGTGATCCAATCAAATGAATGATAAATACGGTACCCCATTTTTAAGAAAGGTACCGGAGTTGTCACCTAATATAAATATGTTGTATGTAGTATATAATACGGAGTTTAAATATGTTGTCCTCCGGGTCATTTAGCTTTTTTATGGTCAAACAAAAAATTATATTAAATCAACAAATCGTTTGCACTTGGCTGACAATACAATGACAGATAATATCATAACTGACCCGATCTCTGGTCTGAGATAATAACATGTGCTCTCGTTAAAGTATGAACAACACAGTGAAATTACTCTTAATTTGTTCCAAATACCTTCATGTTATCATCAATGATGAGATTGAGGTAAGAGGAATCATCCCTTTCTTAAGTCCCTGAATCACAGTGAGTGCATCCGTCTCGATCTCCACATTGCTCCAACAGTCCAACCTTCCTCTGCCGCCCCTTAGATAGCATCTCTTAGCCCCACTGCCTCCGTCTCCGCAGCCGACCACCTTGCCCTGCATGAAACTCCTTGAACTTTGATAAATACCCGGTGTTCGTCCCTTGCAATACATCCCCAAGCCCGAATCTCCCCACCTGATTGACTGCTTCATCCACATTGATCTTTATATTCCCACTTCTGGGTCCTTTCCACTTCTCCTCCCACCAGACTGCCTCGCCTTGGTGGTGCTGCTACCTTGGGCTTCCCTCCCCTCCCTCCCCTCCAACTGGCTAGCATTCTAGGCTTCTAGCCACACCATTCAGGACACACGTCGCTTCCTGTCGCTGCCTTCCACACAACATTGTTCTATCTTTTCCCGGAGAATACAAATAAACTCTCCTTGGATCGTTTAGCTTAGCTCGGGCACTTTGTTCTCTCACGTCACTAATGTAGTAATGTGTGCATAAAAACTTAATTGGCCATTTAATTTTGTATTGCAAATCTTAAAATGAACTTGTTAATCTAATGTAGAAGGACGCATTCTTCTCATGGATCTCCTTCCATACGTTCACACCCTCGTCACATATGTCTCGACTTATGCATCACATGTATGTACTATCATATACGGAGTTTATGTATATCTAAAATTATTTTCCGTGAGTGTATATTTTTTTCGAATTAAAAATTACTCCTCATGATAACACTTTCGTATAAGTGTGCACCCAGGAGCGGATTTAGTTTTGTATTCTAAAACTCAATTTTGTATTTTTGTGTACATCTAACTAACAAATTTGTCCTTTCGAAATAATACAAACTAACAAATTGGTTAAGTGATAGGCCTTTTGTCCTCAATATTATAAAAATGAGGATAAAAGACAAAAAATTGACCAATTTTTTATAATTCCAGAAATGTGAACAATTTCACGAATATACCCTGCAATGACAAAGTGACTCTGGCCATAGTAACTCCTGACATAGTGACTCATGACACAATGACTCCTGACACAGTGATTGTGATTCCGGCCACAGTGACTACTCTTTCTCGTCTAACATCAACTGACTTCCTCTTCAATCGATCTTCTTCCGCAATGAGACAGAGGAGCTTGGAAGCTCTACTCCATGCAAAACATCAAATATGGCACCGACGATGGCTGATGATGACAAGGTGCAGCGGAGGCGGCCACTATGGGGCCTTTTTTCTTCACCTCCTCCAGATCTCCCTCCTCCTCTCTCTTCCTCCAGAACATGAAGGACGACCCGATTACAACACCTATCCTCTAGATCGGGCACTTTTCGTAATTATTCTCCGTCACCACCGTCACATACGAATCGATCTCCTTAATGGTCACCCTCGCAATTGTTTCATCAACTCCAGCCAAGTACTGCCACTCCAGCGCCACTTCCGCCGGGAATCTTCCCTTCCGAGCTATCTCCTTCTCCTCCTTTTTTTCTCTCTTCCTCCTCCTTTCTTCTTCCATGCCATATTTGATGTTTTGCACGGAGTAGAGCTTCCAAGCTCCTCTGTTTTCTCTCCTCTTCTTTTCTTCCTTGGCTGTCTTTGATTTTCAATGTCCGTATACATTTGTGATTCCACTCTATTTTGTTCATAAATGTTTCTTTAAATGTTTCTTTTTACTTATAATTTTCTTTTTCAATTTGTAACTCTAATGTGTTGCTTTGTTAATTTTTATGTTAATACCTTTTTACTACTCCATATTTTTTTGATTTATTTTAGTTATTGACCATCATAATGATATCTTATGGTGACAAGGTCATCGGAAATGGGACTATCACAAATGTTATTATTTACATTGTGACATGTATTATATGACAATTTAATATAGTGTCGTTGTTTAAAAATCAATGTCATATAGACAATGTAATATAATGTCATTGTTTAAAAATCAATGTCATTATATGGCAATGTAATATCATGTCATTGTTTAAAAATCTATGTCATTAAATGGCAATGTAATATATAATGTCATTGTTTAAAAATGAATATCATTATATGACATGTAATATAATGTCACATTTTTTATTTTTTATTACCTCCGTCCCAATGGACTTTGCACTCCTTAAGTTTGTGCAGAAGAGAGAGAAATGAGTAGAACCACAAAATTTTTTGGGACAACCAAAAAATGAAAGATGACAAAGTCCAATGGGACGGAAGAAGTATTTTTTATCTTTCTACTTTTTCAACCGACGATATTACTTTTAAAACAATGACAACATTTCATTGTCATATAATGACCTTGTATATTACATTGTCATGAGCATTGACATTGTCACGATAGTCATTGACATCACTACTTTTGACATGTGATTATTTACAATGTCATTGTTATAGCATTGATATTGTCACGACATTGTCATTGACATTGTAATTATCACTATGACATTTTTATAGCATTGACATCTTCATAATTGGACATTGTGGCACTAACATTTTCGTGACATTGACATTTTTTAACAATGACATTGTCATTATTTAAAATTGTGTTACTCTGACATTGTGACATATTTATGACAACAAAATACACTTTCATCAATGTGTTTTTCAAATTCTGATATTGTCATTTTTGTAAACAATAATATTATTTAATGGTGTACATTATTGTAAAAAAAAATACAGAGTATACGGAGTAGTAATTTGAAATGCAATTGAATTGAAAACCAAACATGATAACATTAATTAATCAAGCACCCTGCTAATGGACATAAAAAGCATAAATTCAACACCAAACATGTTCGTAGATCATCCTGTTCAAAGCCTAACAACCATTAATGCACTCAAATACTCAATCGTATAAGCCTAGAGTAGATGCAAGATAACGTTGCTTTTCGGCCGAATAAAATTGGACAAAGCATATAACTGAGAGAAAAATGATATACGAACAAAGGATATCAGAAGAAGAAGAAGAAACGACGATCTAGGTTGAAAAAACCGTCTCTAAAATTCTTCCCAAACTCAAACTATTTTTAAAGTTCGAAAGATCATAGAGATTTAGGAGGTGTTTGGAACTAATTCTGATTCTGCTTCTTTTTTAAAGCAGAAGCAGAATCAGAATCAGTTTTCAGAAGCTGTTCACCCCAAACTTCTAAAAAAACTGATTCTAGGAGTAAATTAGAGCATCAGAATCACTTCTGCACTTTTACCCAAACACTCCAACTTCTGAAGGAGCAGAAACAGTTTTAAAATCAAATACAAACACTCCCTTAATTTAGGGTTGAAGACGACGATTGACGAGATTCTCACTGCAGCACATTCCTAGGAGTTGCGGCCAATTCAGTACGTAGGGGACACACCAGCGGAAGATGCGTAATTAAGCATACCGTAATTAAGTGGGCGAGGCTGATGTTGTCATTAATCAAAATTTTAGTCCTATTTCCGTTAAAAACTTGAACGAGTCATATTTACTTACTTGGACTATGTTTTAGTCCTATTCAAGTCTTTTTCCCTAAGTTTAATACGGAATATTATATAATTTTGTGTGGGGTAAAAAACTAGTTCATTCAACATAGTCGGTCACAATATAGACAGTAGAAAGCAACAGTTCCATCAAAATTCATCACAAAGCAAAAGATGGATGATCAGACTAAAACTTTGCAACGGTAGAACACACAGAATCATAAGCCTGGTCAATTTCATCTTCTGTCATCTCGATTGTTGCCTCATCACTATCAGAATTTGTTGTGTTGAGTTGTGTCTGATCTATGCTCCTGAATTCTAGCTCATAAATTTGTTTACAGAGTTCAGCTTGCTTCCATACCCTAGTTACATCATTGCCTTGAACTTTTAGCAGCTCCTCAACTGCGTGCGGGATGCATGCCCATTGCTCCATTATTTGCTTTACATCCTAAAGAAAAAACGAAAGAGAATACAAGATATAGGTTTCACGCAAACGAAGCATTAGATGTGCATAAGTGCATTTAGTTAACCTAAAGTTTAAGCTAAAGCAGTAAAGCTTAAGCTGGCAATTGCACTGCCTATTAATTGATGAGGATACTGTATTATTTATACCCCTCACAAGAAGATATATAGCACAACGGCATCAGTCAATTGCAAAGGATTTGCCCATCATGTTAAAGTGAGCCTGAACTCTTAAGTAAAAAATAAAAAGCCTTTAGGAAGCCATGAAACTTATAATGTCAATGATAGTTTGAAATTAGATAACACATTAACACTATAAAAGGCAGTGGTAAAGCTTTACGTTGGATATCCCTTCCAAAATGAACTAACTCTACAAATAATAAATGCACAATGGGAAGAAGAAGAAGAAGAAGAAGAAGAATGAGAAACATACCTTCCCATGCTTTAGAGAATCTATGGTATCCTGTAAACAGGTTAAGGTCCCCTCCGCAGCTATTTTCTTAATTTCAGTTGGCTCTGGCTGCAGAAAGAAAAAAATCATGAAGATAATAAGGGTTCACAAAACTTGCCAATCATGGCAAACAGAAAATACTCATGAACTTGCAAATCCATTACTTTATCGACACCCTAAAACTAATTAGTTAAAAAATCATAGTTTCTGAACTTATAGTTACTGTAAATTTCTATACTGAGATGTGTATGTGTGAGTGTGATAGTGTGAGTGTGAGCGTTTACACTTCCACTCAACAAGTTCTGGATACAGAATCAGTGTGATATTTGGACATGAATGCATGATTAATTGAACTTCATAACATCCAGTGCATATTGCGATGATATAGCTACATCATGCGTGAAAGAGGTAGAGAGTACTTGGCTGAAAACATGAAATAACCAAATGGTTGAAAGTCTAAGGACACTCTTTGTTTACCTTCTCATCTTGACTTTCTAGCCATGAAATAGTTCTCTGAAGATCTTCAGTGGCCCATTGTTTCACTTCAGAAGAAGAGAAAAATTCTTTGAAACTGTTGGGGCACATACCCTGTTTCACATATGAAAATTTAGGTAAAATGAGATTATAAGAACTCAGATATATTTACTTATATACACAGTTGAGCACCAAGAAAGCATATAAGAATTAATAAAAAAATATTACATCTGTAGAAAAACTAGAAGCTGAGCCTTGAATATATCAAATTTTATCAAACTGATTTTCAGTTGTCACGGTCATGATTCATGAAAACATGCCTAAATACCATAAGGATTCCATCATGAGTTTTGGCTTGGCGTTGAAATAAAGACACATACTTAAAATTGTCATAAGATTGTAGGCATGTACTAACAAACAAATGAGATCAAGCAGACCTTAGATGGTGTACGGGAAGTCAAGTCTGAGCGTGAGTTTTCTGCTTTTTCTTGAGATTCTCTTGAGTGCAGTGACCTTTTATCTGTGAGGAACGAGCACCAGATTAAATTAGACTAAAACATAAACACATCTGAGAATACCAAGTTCGTCAAAGAGGTTGTGCTAAAAGAGTAACAGCTACAAGCTCAACTTTTTACTCGTCAAAGAGATAATCTGTTATCTTTAAAAAACATAATTTAATACTGTACTTAGATTATTTCTGTTCCCTTTTTGGAAGCACCAACCTTTGCAAACACTTAGCATCCTCCATGGTTTACCAGCATGCATAAGGTAAGGCTCGATATCAATGAGTTGTCGTTGTTTATAACATTCTGCTATCCAATCCTGTTCCAAAAATTAATAAGCAAACAAAACAAAAATCAAGTTTCTCTGTCTCTCTTTTGAAATTGGAGAATAGTAAGTAATGAGTCCACGGAGAAGGGTGCTAGCAGTGCATGTCAACATGTGGCAACATTTGACATATAAAATAACAATCAGAGCTGGTATAGCTAAAAAGTAAACCCCGAATGATAATTCCATTGTTCTATTTTGTCAATTGTAACCATGAAAATACTATAACAAAAACTCCAATTAGGTTATTATAACACAAACTAGCAGCCCCCTCCCACTCTCAGGCAGCACAACTGATCAGCATCATTTCAGAATACATCCAAAGTCATGTAGAGATGCCAATACATTGCGTTGCTAGTTGCTACTAATTTGGAAAAAAAATATGTATGAATGTTAAATGGTGATAGCAAGTATGTATTAAAGTAATTAAACAAGGTTCAGATTCATTCAGACCTCATAGAGAGTTAAGAGGCAGGAGGAAAAATGTCCAAGAAAGAAGATGTTTTATGAAATTGATATAACATGAAGAAACATCTGTGTTAGAAGAGGAAAGAATGTAACTTGAAATACCCGAAGGTATTCCCTATCAAGGTAACTTGTCCAATAGCCTATAGGTGCCCAACCCTGGGGAGTAGGGAGTCTCGAATTTTTTAATCTTTGAATCTCTTATGCTAAAGAGAGCCCTTATTATGGGGTGGGGGGGGGGGGGGGGGTATCTACTAAAATTGATTGAAGGATTATAGGGGTGGGCAGGGGCGGACCGTAGTAGAGACCAAGGGAGGCTACCGCCCCCCAACAAAAATTTTTGTAGTGTATATATATACGAAAAATAATTTTTGCTCTTCCAAAAAGTATTTTGAACCCCCCAAAATATTTTCGCCCCCCAAAATGACTTTCCTGGGTCCGCCCCTGGGGGTGGGGGTATCTACTTCTCTGATTTCCAGAATCAAGACCAGAAATCCGTAACTGATCGACTCCCTTAATGTTTCCCAATGCCTCAAACAATCAAGGTAAAAATATTCATGAGTGCTTCACAGGGTATTCCAAGACATACTAAGGCGCTAAATTTGCAGTCTATCATAGCACAGCAGTCCATTCTATAAATGTCTTGTATATAGAATCAAACCTTGGAAACAATGGTCCCAAGATCTGCCGCAACTTGCCGGAACTTTGGAGTGTTTGGAAATGCACAAACCAAAAGGGTGCAATTCGAATTCCAATCTGGTTGATATTCAGCTCCCATTTCCAACGCTTGAGACCTCAGTGTGCCACGCTCAGGGTTAACAATGCCAGATAACACAAACACAACACCCTCCTGCACTAATGAATACAATCAATCATTTACTCATTTTTTTCTTTTTTCCCCAAGATCAAACCTAACGGAGATTCATGACTGAAATCACAGTACAACCATGAGTTTTGAGAAGTTTGAGGTGCCCGAATTGGAGTGCGTTTCACTTCCATCAGTAGTACTCGTGTCTTGCCTTGATCCCATCCATGAGGGAAGATTCCGTCTCCTTTTACTTGTAATACCATCATCACCTTTGCCAGCTTTTGAACCTGACATTTGATGACACTGCCTATATCTATTGGAATGGTTACAACTGCAAAAACAGCAATATAGCAAACTGAATACTCCCCTGTGACCACTATTATATCAATTTCTGTACAGACTTGTTTCTCTTGAAAATAACAAATAACCCCTGTGACCACTATTATATCAATTGAAACTTTCAATTGAAAGAATATTTTACTTTCATCGGTAATTATCCCAAAAGGTCTGTTATGACATTTGAGAAGAATTTGGAGAATGGAATTTTTCAAGCGAACTGTTGTAGTGTTGTGTATTGTATGATTTGGCTATTTGTTGCCGTGATCTTTTTCTTGTTTCTTATTACTAGTATTGCACCCGTGCGTTGCACGGTGTGTGAGTTTGTTGATGGATAAAATTACCGTGTGATCGTTTGTTATGATACATGTGCCGATGCACGGTGGATGATCATTTCAAAATAAGTGTACATTATTATTGTTATGAAAAGTGTAAGACAATGAGAAGTTGTTAATTAATATGAGGTGAGTTAACAATTGAATGTGATAGTTCAACAATACAAAATGGATTAAAGTTGACAAAATTGTTATGATGAGTATCAAGTTTTGCAGATTATAATTAAGAATGCACACAAAACACTTATCTATAAACCATGTTGGTGGCCGCTTCTAAGTGGTCTCTTATCTCCACATTGAATAAGTTTTCATGATCAATACAATTTGTAACCCTAAGACACAATGAATATGTGTCTCTAGCTAATGATATTTTATAAAATTGATACAGTTGCATTTGAAATCTTAAAAGGAAGATTGACATGACTTAAAGTGTTCCTTCATATTAAAAGTACAGAAATGTTACTTGTGGTTTGGCCCGTTTTCAGATAATGTCATGTGTTTCATTCTTTATCAAAGTAGTTTATGTGTTTGAATTCCGTTATCACAAGAGGGTCACGCTGTTAAAAACGTCTGAAAAAGACCGTTAAAAGTAACTCCGATTTTCAAAAGAGCCTGAAAAAGTAAAAGAAAAATACCGAAAGGTGCGCCTCGTCAAGATGACCTCCAAACCACCTTCGCCTTTGGATTTTTCAGATCTGTTTAAATTATTTTTTAAAAATGATTTCGCTAATATAACTTTTTCGATGGACTTTCCGGTGACAAGAGTGGCTGAAAACAAAAAATAAAGATGTACTAGCAGTCGTCTTATTGAGGTGCACCTTCCAGTATTTTTCTTTTAATTTTTCGGGCACTTTTGAAAAATCGGAGTTACTTTTAACAGTCTTTTTCGGACGTTTTTAACGGCGTGACCCTCATGTGATAATGGAATTCAAACACATGAACCATTTTGATAAAGAATGAAACACATGACCCTACATGAAAACAGATTCAACCCCTAGTACATTTTTCGTACTTTTCCCAAAAAAAATTATCATTTCAAACTCCATATATGTATTTACTTTTTTCAGACATACACTAATTAGTATAAAAAAATTATATAATTACTCCCATAAAAGTATAATATCATTTATTAAATACTCCATATAATCTTATATATTCAAACATATATCCCCCGACTTTCAAAAATCTATTGACAGTATATATCACCATAAAAAATCACATTATATGATTTCATATTTTAACTGATCTAATATTATATTTCATATTTTTAATATGACAATAAATAATAATCCCCTTGTCCTAGTTTAAAGTTTGTAGTTTCATATTTACATTTTTATACATCTCATATTAAGGTTCTCCGACTGGCTCTCCTTAAAAAAGGTACAATAACTTTATCATTTGTATTTAAAAAAATCATAACAATACCACCATCCACTAAATATTTCACCCGATTATATTCTCACTTAGCGAACTATTTATTATTTTAATCTTTTTTTGTTTTCTATGTTGTGTACTCATATTATTTTATTCAGAAGTTTATCTTAAAATATTATAGACTACGATGTAATTTAAATTACTATAAGAGCTTGTTTGGTCATTTGTTTTCAGTTTATTAGCCTTGTCGGTCAATATTGTTACGAAACTCGTAAATTGTTATTTCATCGCTGAATTATGTAATAATCAAAATAAGTAATTTTAATGTGTTACTTTTCTTGCTAAATTGACTAAGAATTACTATTAATTATTAAAAATTATTTTTAATATTAAGAATTATTTTTATTAATTATTAACAATTTTAATTATTAACAATTATTAAAATGATAATTTTAAACGTCTAATAATCGGGATCATATATATGACTCAGCCCAATTTCGAATCTGGTTTAAAAAAGAGTTGTCGGCCCAATTACACAATGAATCCAGCCCAACAGCCTCAACCTAAACCGCACTATATAAACGAGATTTACCCTACGTTTTTCTCATTTACCCTTGGGCATAAATCACAGACCATCGGTTCTCCTCTTCTATGATCTTCTCCAACGTTCTACGATACTCTCCCATCTTCTCCGATTTTTTCTGTTCTTGTCTGTAATCTCATACCACCATAGTCAATCGTTCCATTGTTGTGAAGAGAGTGTGTATTTGTCAGCTGAAGCCTTATTCGACCATTGTTAAGGCTACGAAGGGCGAGTGAGCTTCAAAGGATCTCATGCCTAATTTTCCTTTCATCATGTCTGATGTACACGATGACTCTGTTTTATTATTTTTTTTATTTCATGCACTTTTAAATCATTTTATTTAAGGTATATATTCAATTCATTAAATTTTTTCCAGCGTGAAGCTAGTGTATGTTTGTCCGATCTTGCCTTTTCGTCCACTGTTACGAAGGTGGAGTTATAATCAAATGTTCCCAGACCTAACCAATCCTTTCTTTATTTGGATAGATCCTGCAATATTCCTGTGTTTTTTGACTTTTATCGTGGATGATTCGACTCCTCCGGTAGAGACCGAGCTTTACCGGTATGTTACCTGTGTATTCTCGTTGCCGGCGGACGGTAGCAAACAACCTTGTCATATTTTATTTTCGACACTATTATCGGTGTATTTCTATTAGTTCTATATATTAAACTCATTGATTTGTTATCAAATCCGATCTGAAACATGCAACTTATTTTGTTTGGATCTTAATATGTAAAATTGATTATTTTTGAAGTAAATTAAATCAGTGATGAAGCAACAAATCTGTCTGTATTTTGATTCAAGGGTACAGGTATGTCATAACATTATGACATAAACAGACGGATTTGATAAATATGGGTGGAATAATAAACATGCATTGCTATATGACGCATAAATATTGATATCTCTCAAAAATGAGATATTTGGTAGCATCGTGTCACACGTTATGAAATGAAAGGCCCGTGTTCTTAAAACTTTGAGCAGAATAGACCTGTTGTAAAAAAATCTACTCTTTCTTAAAACTTGGAGTACGATATAAATCTATTTTTCTTTATGTATACATGAAGAAAATAGTTTTTATTAACATATACGTATTTGGATTTGAAGTGTTTACCATTATAAGAGAACAATTTTCCTATCTATTTTTAGTTTAGATTTGTTTGTTTTAACAACACTAAGATAAACAATCTATATGAGTTTAACTCAATGAGATGGGGACTTGGTTTTGCTTTTATCCGCTTAATGAATGTTCGTCGATCCCGGTTATATCTTTAACTATCTTCCTCTCGAATACTCAATCGAGGAGTATATCCAGTTCATCGAGGGTAGTTATTAATAACGAGATGTGTTCATTAATAAAACTTACTATCGAGTCAATATAGAACAAGCGTCGTATATTAACTTGATAGTAGCAATAAACTTAAGATGAAAACGATTGAGATTGATAACCTCAACCCAAGCGGTTTATTGGTTTAATCAATATAATTAATTCCCTTTGGCATATTAACCTTGAGATGCATGCATTAATATTCCAAGTTTACTACCGTTGAAAGAACCGGATTAATAACAAGCGTATTAACCGATTGATTCTAGTAATAATTAATATGAGAAACAATACTAGTTGATACTTTAAATAATGTTTAAGATATTAACATGAAATATGAATAGGAATTAATTAATACTCAAAGAAGAATATTAAAATATATGAATCCTACTATGATTAATATCAAGATGTTAACTAATTGTCATCTTAGTAACACTCCCCAATATTATCATAGAGGAAGAAATAGCTATTACTATAACCAATGTCAAGATGTTAACTAATTGTCATCTTAGTAACACTCCCCAACTTTGATATAGAGATAGTATTTTGAAAGAAAGAATTATTATTCAAGGAAGAAGATTAAAGAAAATAACTCACAACTTACAAATTATTAAGCTTCAAAGTAGCAAAACCAAGATGGAAGAGTTTAGCTCCTTATTTGGAGACTAAACATGATGAAAAATATAAAGAAAGAGTTATTCTATACTGAGCTTAGATGTACAAGGAATTGGATATCTTTTTGTGAAGGAAAGGAGGTGTATTTATAGGCTTTTGGGATGGGATTTGGGTACCCGATCGGGTATGTGTGTAACACCCGATCCGAGGTATACTCGACCGGTTTAAGGGTATTTTCTAAGAGTATACCCGATCGAGTATATATGAATACCCGGTCGAGTATGCTTAGAAAATGTTATTCGAACCATACTCGACCGAAATTCTTTTGAAATTCAAAGGCATACCCGATCGGGTATGTCGGTCTATCCGATCGGGTATAGACATAAAATCGTGGCCGAAATCTTCTCTGCATGTTCCCTTGTCTTCAGAAATGATCCGATTTGAAGTTCCAACCTAATACCCGATCGAGCATAGTTAATACTCGACCGAGTATAGGCCAAAATTCAGGATCTTCTTTTGTCTTTGAACTTTTGCACCTTCTCTTCACTTTTTGGGTTCACCAACTGTACTTTGATTGACCAAAACCTGCTTAAGCTCAGAATATATCTAATCTAACCTATTTACAAGAATTTAACAATCTAATCTATTACACCAAAAGTGTGTAATTTCCAAAGTAAAAGTCAAGCAAAACTAATTAAAAACATAAACATAGATATGGAAATTACGAACGTATCAACTCCCCCACACTTAAACCTTTACTCGT